CATTTTGAATGTCCATTTAAGCTTATGCTCCAGTTTGCCCCTCAGGACTAAGTTCAAGGCTGCCACGTACTCCAGGAAATCAATGGTGTTGTCCTGTGCACATGAAGAGAGAGTTAAGATGCTATGAAGCAAAATGTTTCTTTACTCTGACAGGAAAAAAGATGACAAAGAAAAAATGTGTCAGGCTGCAACTAAGGGATATTTTCAGTATTAATTTATCTGACAATTATCTTCTCAATTAATTGTTTTGACCACTGGTTCCCAATCTTGGGGTCCTGATCCCTACTATGGGTCACCAAAGCTTCACAGGGGGGTCGCAAGGCCTTCTTGATTTTAAGGGGTGAAAGAAAAGTTTAAATATATATACACATACAGTAGGCCTTTATTTCAGCATTTCATTCAGTTATATGAAGAAACAAGATTATTATTCAACATTTAAACTTAATCTTTCTTACAAACTATACTCAGAGTCCTCACTCTCTACTTAACAGCCTCGTCCTGCATCAGAAAAGTACATAATTAATTGGGACGGATTTAGTTTATTCATTTGTCACTTAGGAAAAATACCTGAAACTGTCCCACACATAGATAAGTATTCATTAAAGATACTTTTGGCAAGTAGCAGGAAAGCCATAACTTGCAAATGGTCGCAAGTTGATCCTCCAACACTGTCTCAGTGGCTGGGGATTATAAATGAAATATACAGTATGGAAAGACTTTTATTTTGAGACTTGAGATGGAAAAATGTACAAAATACTGGGACAAATGGATTGTGTATAAACGCCATTGAAAAAGGTGTGACACTGTATGCCTGGATGTGAGTGAAAAATGTACAGGGATTTGACCTTGTAACACCATGAGGACCTCATGTTTTTTGTTTCTTAAATAAAAAGAAAAGTTACATAAATATTATATTATATTATTATAATTATTATAATATAATATAATATAATATATATTACAATATTATTTAAATATGTCACTTAGTCAGGGGTCGTTAGTTTACTCAATAATATTAAAGGGGTCCTTTAAGAAAAAAGGTTGGGAACCATTGGTTGAGACCACAGTGTGCTAGAAAATGTTGCAAAATGACCATTTTAATTTCCTGGCAAAAAACTGACATATTCAAATAGCTTTTTTTGTGATGATATTCAGATAAGATATTCTGTATAATTTCATAGAGGAAAATCCAGCAATATTCACATTTCAGAAGCTGAAACCTTTACATTTACGGCCTGTGCGGCATGATCGAAAATACTACCTCCACAATTTCAAGAAGCTCTGTTTTATCAATGAATCCGCTCCCATTATCATGAACATCCATTTAAGCTAGTGTTCCAGTTTACCCCTCAGGACTAAGCTCAAGGCTGCCACGTACTCCAGAGAATGAATGGTTGTAGCCTTTCTTACCCAATTAATCAACCATCAAAATTGTTACAGATTAATTTTCTGTAGATCAGAAAATCTAAATATACAACAACAGCAGCTGTCACAAATACTTCCAATCACAAAAATCCTCACAATTACTGTGGCAAGGCTAGTGTCAATACTAAAATGAGACAAATGACACAACAGAAGTCATCACTTACTCCGTTCTTGTCAAAGGCTCGAAACATGTTCTCAATGTAATCCGCGGCCTCCTTGTTTTCAGTAACGCCGAAAAACCCCTTGAACTCGTGCATGAAGAGAGTTCCACTGGGACACTCCACCACAAATTTTTTGTACCATTCCTGCAGCTCTGCCACATCAATTTCCTTGTCTGGGTCACAGTCCTCACTCAGGCGTTGACCCATCGTGGAAAATCCTTCTTTAACTTAGTAAAGACTAAAATTATTTCTTACATTACATGAAACTATTTGACCTTAGTGACTCTCTACATTACAGAATTCAGAATTCAATCAATCCTCGGTTATCGAACCAGTTGCTGTGACAAAATTTGTGCAAATTAGCAAAAATCAAATTGATTAAAATGGCATAAAGGTCCATACAGGCTGGATTGTTATTGTGCTCTCTATTGTGGCAAATCTCATCTGAGAGTCGGGATGAGACAAAGGCTGTTATGGATCACATGATAAGGGATTAGAAATGGACACTTGTCAAAATCAATTAGCTCACCAACAGATTGTGAGAGGATTTCCTCGTAGTCCTGCCACTACCTATCCTAGAAAGTACATCTGTATGTTCGCTTTGAAGGAACACTCTCCCGACTAACAGGTTTTAAGTGCCTCTAATTGACTTTCTATTAACAATGTAAGAAAGTGTGTGCAAAGGTAAAATATGCTCAGGTAAACTCAGGATTAAGGTCTGTTTGCCGTATGACAATGTCAAATGAGAAGTGTCCAGTTAAGTGATTACAAAGTTACAATCAGGGAGGGTCTAATGCTATTAGTTGCATTGTGGGAAATGTAGGATTCAGCATTTCCAGAACAGTCTCGCCCATTCTATCCAATAAAAATCAGGATATCTCAGGCACTGCTGCTCAGATTTTGACACTTGTTCGTCAATCTGTTCCTTCCAAGTCCACAAACTTCATGCAAGTGGAAAGCTAAATCGCTGGTGTGCTCCTTTAAGTAATCTTTCCCTGGAAGTTCCTAACCAGTCTGATGATTCACACAGGCAAAGTGTTTAGTTATCCCTGGCAGCTCTGACCTTCAGAAGCCATGTTATTTACTGCCACCCTGATTACTGTTTACATGCCTGCTTCAGTCTCTCTGAAGCCTATAATAAATGTGTTGCGGCTAAATTCACTAATGATGGACATTACATCTTCAGACGGCAATGAAAATATTTTTGGTAAATGGGTGGAAACATATAGCGAGCTCCTGGTCTTGTTTGAGTATCAGGCTGCAGAGTGGTTGAAGGAAATTTGGAAATAACTGCTTGTGTTTTTTAGCAGAATAAGAGTGTGGCTGTTGGTGGTAAACCGTAGCTGTTGTTTACAGGTGAATGCTTGGCTTGGCCCAATACCTCCCGGTGCTGATGACAGGGATAGTGATAATCATAGCTTAGAAATGTCAAGGCCAGGGTCAAGGTGTCACTGGATGTTATCCTCACGATTAGAATGATTCACTCCTCCTGTTCCTGTACAAGACATATTTAAATCCCACCCACATTTTCCTTCATCCAGTCGTCTTACATAAGTTGTATTCCTGTGCCCAGGGCGGTTCTAGTCAAGACCCACCAGTTCTGTACCCATGACTACCTTGCATTGGCAGGACTGGTGTCAAGTAATGTCACTCAGATGTCATCTCTATATCACCATTACTTCCTGTACTGTTTTGGCTCAAATAACTCTTCGGTGTACAGCTGTGCGTTGTTCACCAGCCATGTTGGTTTAGCCTGTTCGCATCCAGACATTGTCACTTAGCACCAAATATTAAAGGGACAGTTCACCCCAAAATCAAAAGATCATATTGTTCCTCTTATCTGTAGTGCTATTTATCAGTCTAGATTGTTTTGGTGTGAATTGCTGAATGTTGGCATTATCGCTCATAGAGATCTCTGCCTTCTCTCCAATATAATGGAACTAGATGGCACTCAGCTTGTGGCGCTTCAAAAACTACATTTCAAAAACTCAACAGCAATGTCTCTTTAAGGGAATAATGACCTGGATACTGAAGATAATCCACAGACCTTGTGAACAGTTTCATGTAGGAACTATTTTCTTTTTACTGAACTACACCTGCCAACTGCATTACCACACAAAAGGAAGCTTTACAATATATTAGAGAGAAGGCAGACATCTCTACGGCTGATATCTCTAACACTCGGCAATTCACACCAAAACAAACCAGACTGCTAAAAAGCACTACAGGTAAGAGCAACAATATGTATTTTTGATTTTGGAGTGAACTGTCCCTTTAATTTCAACTGAGGCTAATGGGAATGTTGTGAATTTTGGTCAGTTTTGTTTGGTCATCATCCAGTGACCATCAAAATTTCAATTTAACCAGATGATGGAGCTCAAGGTTATTACAGTTCGTCCTCTGGGGACCATTAATGTTTGTACTAGGGTTGCAACAGTCTGACAGAACAAGACATGAACACTGGTGCTATGATAACCATCTCAGAAAATACTGCGGTTTCACGATACTACAGAATTGATATTTTCAGTCAGAATGACCCTTAAAGGAATTTAAATATAAGGGTTACTGGTGGTTAAACAAACGTTTATAACTACAAGTGAAACTTGAAACCATTTTGTTAATGGAAGTATGTGTAAAAAGTCTCCCTTTAGAAAATACCTGAAATAAAGGGGGGATTCAACATCCAGTGGCATTTTTTCAATAATATACCTTGAATCTAGCACATTGTTGCAACCCTAGTGTGCACTTTAGCATGTTAGCTTGCTAACTTTAATACAAAGTGGCTCATAATGCAGCATGTTTGGCTAATGTTGCTGTGTTAACATCTGAAGGTTGTGGTATATTATCTGCATGTTAGCATAATACAGCAGCATTTAAGTCAAAGCACAGGTGAAGGCAGAAATCTATTCATTAGTTTTAGAGGTGACCTATCATGAATTTAAGTGTTAGACAAAAGGCAGCCCAGTTTCCAGAATAAAATGTCAGCATGGTACATGTCTGCAAACCACAGATATGTTACATTTTTACATTTCATATGCATAATATCAATGTTTCTAAAGAAGCATGGTTTTGATCACATGTATATCAGCTGACTTTGGCTAAGGGAGGTGAAGGGGATGGTTGATGCCATGGGATCTTGGCGAGATAGCTGCAAATCTGCAAACCTCCTTTCAAGATCCAACAAACAACAAAATCTTTTGTTTTGTAACTAAACATAACTACACCTTAACCAGAGCGCTGTAGGAACGTAAAGTTTCAGGGTATCCATTACATAATAATGTACAATGCCAACATTTATTCTGGTGATTCAGAAACTTTTGTGGGGTGTGGAATCACCCATATAGCTATTAATGGGTGACACCTTCAGTCCCCATCAGTCCGTGGCCCTCATTGTTTTGCAGATATGAAACACACTTTGAGTTTTAGCATTTATTGCTTTCCATGAATACTATGATACAAGCTCAAGCATTCAACTTCCAGCGATTATCAGTTTTACGAAGGCAGTGGACGAGTATTACAAGTCTACAAAAACTGATTTACAGATACGTACTGTAAAAATCCAAGCTATCAAAAGGGACATTTTTTACAACTCAGGTATGACATACATAAAGTGTAAAAGTACCTTGTGTTCTGTTGACAGATTTTGATGCAGAAATGGCTTCAAACCAAATTCTAAACAAGCTCCGGGCAATACTGTGTGTTTATATTGGCTTCATACAGTGACAAAGCAAAACTGACATTTTCCACATCCTTCAAGGGGTAAATGCAAACAAGTGCAATATCATGTTAATAAGAAATACATTTTGTGCTATGTGCTTAATTGAAAACACAAACAGACATCTGTGAAGTGCTGCTTCACATTCTTAATGGCGTGTGTCCAAGTGGAGAGATGCACATTCATCAGAAAACTAGGCCAAAACACAACTCAAACTGTGAAATGTCTGTGAAATTATCTTTTGGAAATACATGCCAAATGACATAAGGATAATGAAATTACTGAATACATCAGTTATCAAGGTTAAATGATAACACTCAGATATAAAAATCAGGGAAAAAAGATTAGAAAAAGTTTTAGTCAACAGTGAAAAAGCAGAGTCTCCATAATCTTTAAATCATTTCCTTCCAGTTTAAAGACCGGCTGATGTGTGGACTTGAGTACTTGAAACTGAAGAGGACAAAAAGATCCTCCAGTGAGGATTCTTGAGGTTCACATCACTCCTGGTCCTGAAGTCCAGAGGTCCACAGTGCTACAGATATACCCTTGGTGTGGTATCATACAGTGTAAAAAAACGTCAGTTGGCAGGCTGGGCTTCAAGTTACTCATGTTTCCCTGGTTCTGTTTCAGTCTTAGTGCTGTCTGAGTTGTCAGTGTTGCCCTCTGTTGACAAGTCAGGTGAACTACTAGAAGAGGGGACCTGCTTCTCGCTGGGTGGGCCTTCTCCATCGCTGCTGCTGCTGCTGCTGCTGCTGCTGTTGCTCTCCCCATTTTCCTGCTCAAAGCTTGTACTCTTCTCTGATGGTGCAGGCTGCTCAGGTTGATCCACAGCGGCGTCCTTCTCCAGACTCGGGACATCCTCCCTCTCAGATGAGTCTTCTTCCCTTTCAGATGGTTCTGTCTGAGTGCTGCTGGGCTCTGAGGACCAAAGTGGACAACATCAGGGCTGCAACTAATCATCACCTTCATTATCAATTAATATGTCATTTATTTTTGTGTAAAACCCAATTCGTCATTTGTTTATAAAATGTCAGAAGTTAGTGCAAAATGCTGATCACGTGTATGGGCTGCCGTGACAACCCCAGTATTGCAACAGAATAATACTGACAAGTCAACCGCAGGCGATGGCAAGCAACCGCCCCTACTGCTGTTGTTCATACCTTTTCTTTTTTTTATGGACTCAGCTACAAATGCCAGCAGCATGTCGAGGCACTGAGCTTCTATTCTGCACTGAGCACTGCACATTTGCCTTTTTTTCTGGCTACCAGGAGTTAAAAAATATTCAACTTTGGATAAAATGCTGCATCCACTCATCATTGTCACTTTCTAACCAGCCATCCAATCACAGTGGAGGAGGGGCGCATACAAGATTGACATCACATTGCTGAACAACGACGACCAGCAGGTCTGTTCTCTCTTCCTGCGTGCTTCAGCCTTCCCTTGACTTAGAGCGAGGGCCAGAGCAAGCAGGTGCTCTACCTTGTTCTGACAAATTTACTTCGACAGATATTCTGTACATGGCAACCAGACACAACCAAAGCATCTAAGCTGAAAAAACGCTGCAATCCTTAGGCCCTGATCACACAGAAATCGTTTTGCCTTTGTTTAAGTAAATGCAACTAGTGAAAAAAAAAAAACTCTTGCTGCGCCTTTTTATTGTTGCCAGGCAACCACAGACTCACCTCCTTATTCTAACCTTCCTAGAATGTAATGAATCTACCATAATAATAATCTATTTATTTATTTGACAGTAATTAGTATCTAGTTCCTAAAATGTTGAGGCAGAGAGTACTTGCTGTAGCTCCGGTTGAGGGTGAGAAACTGTCAGTAAATAGTCTGTTGGTCACAGGTCTGTTGGTCTGTGTGGGTACATGAGACCCTAAAAAAGAGAGTGGATCACGGGGAGCATCACCAGTTGGTCCAGGAGCTTCGCCTCCATGATGGCCGTTTCCAGGCATATTTTAGGATGACTCAGGGGGCAGTTTAGCTCTGGGTATCCAGCAACTGCTACCACTAGTTTCTCCTCCATTAGACCTGCCTGTCAAATCATCTGATTGGACAGTGGGGAAAAAAGATGACGAAAAAAAGAGATGATGTGGGGCGTTTTTCTGCTTTGAGTTGAAGTCTTTTCAACTCTCGGAGTTCAGAGTGCTCCGGGAAAAACGCCAGGCACCTAGAGCGCATAAACACAAGACGCGTCACAATGCAAAAACATGCATGCAAAAGGCTTCATTCCCATTAAAATCAATAAAAAAAGGCCCCTTTAGCTGCTAAAACCTGTCCTGTGTGATGAGGGCCTTATTGTGCCTCATTGCCCTTCTGTGCTCTGCATTCAACACTGAACAAGTATTTAATTTGCTTTAAAACCGAGTCATCTTTGTCATTGGCAACAATATACCTACTAATAGCCTAATAATAAAGCATATTTATTAAGCACTAAAATCGGGATAAATGAAGCAATTTGCAAAAACGACAAAAAACAATGGTAAAACTACAAATCATGCTGTCGAGCCACCCTTAATAAACCACAGGGGAAATTTCTTCATAGAGACAGCCCTAATCTCAAATTCCCACAGCCCACAGTGACTTCTTTAAATGTTTTGTCCAACCAACAGTCCAAAACCTAAATATATTCAGTGTACTATCATAGAAGACCGGGGAAACTAAAAACAGAGATAATTGGGAGGATGGAACCACAGAAATTTGGCATTCTTCAAAATGATTTATCGACTACCAAAATAGCTGAATAGATAAATTGAGACATCAGGGTTATGGAATGAGGGAAAAAACTTGTTAACGAGCATCTATATCAGTATGAGGGAATTAATCATGATTTTAAACACTATATATTTTACTCTGGTAGTCCAACATTAAACTCTGAGACATCTGAAGCAATGTGAGTTTAAGATAAACATCAGAATAAAAACCTTGAAACCTTGACACTTTGGGTCACAGTTACATGCACTGAGTGTGACTTAAACACAAGCTACTGCATGGCGACACTTACCATGATCCTCTGAAATAGTAGGTGTGTCACAAGATGTTCCACTTTTGTACTCTTGACCACAGGATTCTTTTGAAGACTCTGGTGTCTCTGGCGAGCTCTCTGACCCTTTACAACAAGATGACTCCTTTTCTTCACTTTCTGTCTCGTCCTCATCCTTTTCGTCGAACTTGAGCCTCTTGACCTCATGCTGGTCAGCATCAGAGCTCTCCTCTTCTTCCTCCTCGGGGTGTTTGTTCTTTATCCCGCTGTTTGGTGTAACTTCACCCTCTGATGGCGAGGAAGCGCTGCAGTAACGACAGAAACACAGATTCAATTTATCAAATTACATATTACAGATTAAAGCAATAAGTAGCTCTCATATATTCCTTTTAAAGATGGGGTATTGAGAAGATCTGCTCCTGTGGGAAATGTCAGGGCTTGACAGATATCATCACTGTCCTTCATTTTAAATAAGAAATACTGAGTAGACTTTCTCAGTGTGCTACACACCCACTCACAGTGCCACATACAGTATGTACCATACTTATTCCAATTACCCGATGTGGTGCTCCTCCACCTCCTCTGTGGTTGGCTCTGGCTCTTTACTGACTGTGCATTCGGGGAGCCCGTTGGTGGAAAGCGAAGCCGACAATGACAGCTTTGGTCTGGTGAGCGGTTTTGGTGTGTCTGGTCCGTTTACATTTCTACTGCAGAAAAAGAGAAAATGACCACTTCTTACGCAAGATGCATCACATGATGGCACATCAGCAGAACTACCAAGACCCAAACTGACAGGCAAGATGTAACAGCTCCTGCTATAGCCTTGTTGGCTTTTAGATATTTGACTTTTGAACTAGTTTGATTTTCTTCTTGCTGGTGTATGAGGCAATTTTAGATTTGTGGAAGTCAATCACTGACAAGTATGTGGCTCCCACCTGTCTGAATATAGAGAAGAGTTACCAGGATACATCACTCCATTCATTCTGTTTACACTGGATGCCCCATTTTTCCTTCGGAAGAAGTAGAAAGGCACAAAAACAACTGGCTGTTAATTGTAACTTTGTACGTGTGACTGAATAAGCAAATTCAAGGGAGCTTTCAATGTGCATTAGAAGCAGCTTAAAGGGACAGTCCACCCCAAAATACATATTTTTTTCCTCTTACCTGTAGTGCTATTTATTAATCTGGATTGTTTTGGTGTGAGTTGCTGAGTGTTGGAGATATCGGCTGTACAGATGTCTACCTTCTGTCAAATACAATAGAACTAGATGGCACTCAGCTTGTGGTGCTCAAAGTGCCAAAAAATCTCAACTCTTTCCAGATATCTTGACCCAGTCAATCAAGATAATCCACAGACCTTGTTGCGAGCAATTTCATGTATGAACTATTTTCTTTCTACCAAACTACAATCGCCAACCATGCCACTGCGCAGAAGGAAGCGTGCGTCTACTCATGGACATGAGGCTCATGCTGGTGATAACGCTAGATGTAAACACTGCTGTTGAGTTTTTAAATGTCTTTTTTTGGTGCTCTTTCCAGAAATCATGACCCTGTTACTCAAGCTAGTCCACTCACCTTGTTGTAAGCATGCTCATGTTTTCTTTCTATTGAACTACACCCGCCAACTGTACCACTGCACAGAAGGAAGTGTGCATTTACTGCTAGCTCACCTAACACCATTGACCTAATGTTTCAGCTCAGCCGAGCAGGACACCATTAATGTTTACATCTTGCGCTATCACCAGCACGAGCCTCTCGTCCATGAGTAGATGCACGCTTCCTCCTGCACAGTGGCATGGTTGGCGATTGTAGTTTGGCAGAAAGAAAATAGTTCATACATGAATCTGCTCACTGAAAAGAGACACTGCTGTTGAATTTTTCAAATGTCTTTTTTTGGTGCTTTGAGCACCACAAGGCTGGTGCCATCTAGTTCCATTATATTTGAGAGAAGGTCGACAACTCAACAGCCGATATCTCCAACACTCTGCAACTCACACCACAACAATCTATAATGATAAATAGCACTACAGGTGAGAGGAAAAATATGCATTCTTATTTTGGTGTGAATTCTCCCTTTAATAGAAATAATGCAGAAACAGCTGATGTACTTACTCTGATGTGGGGTATATACAGCTGACCACCATTACATTCTGCAATTCATGAACAATAATATATATTAGAATTCAATTTAAAGCCATGGAAAATTTCAAACAATATTCATCAATCTTGTTTATCTTGAGTGAAAACACTTAACATGACAGTTTTTACACGTATACACAAGAGTGCAGTGTAGTTCTCACCTTCTCTAAACCCATGAGAAACTTGTCTGTTCCTGAATAGTTGCGCTTGGGGTCTGTGAGGAGTTCACACAGACGCTGAATGGTGAACGGGATTCTGGAAAAGTTACCGAGAGATATATTTAGGATTAGCCACACATAGCTGACTCACAGTCAGGCATCAACAACACCTGCCAAACCTGGCAGCACCGGGGCTGAATGAGAAAACATTGGATCAATCTGGACAGAGCTGGCCAATTTTAGTCACGGCTGGCTCCAAATGCGGACATGAATTATTAATCATGAGTGTTTATACAATGGAAAAAGTTTGCACAGTATTGTTTTGTTAATGTTCAAACACTAAGTTAAGATTTGAGTGATGCACCAAGAAAATGTCATTTGTTAATTTATTTGTTTTGTTTACTTTGGGTATGAAAGATTTATGAAAATGGGTTTTTTGAGGAAGAAGAGTCACAAGAAAAACGTGAAGTTGAGTTACTCTATGTTTTATCAATGGAAAATGAATGGAGGAAGTTACACAACTTTGGCAGAAAGAAATGAATGAATTACAGCACACATTGGGCAAGATCTGATTCCAGCTGATTAATTTTGATTTAAATGCCTATACATTTCAGTTTTTTCTACATATCTAGTGCACATCTAAATATCTCTCCTACTTGGTGGTTATGTTTTCACTAAGTTGATAACATGAAAGAAGACAAACTAATAATGTTACAGACAAACACTGATGGATAGGCCTACATGTTGCTTCGTTTAGTCTCTCTTGAAAACATACTTCTATTGGAAAGTATATCCTGACTTTATCTGAGCTGGCTGTCTATTTTATTGCTATCATTGATTTTAATGCTCATTTCTTATCTTGATTTTAGCTTTGGCCTTATTTTATCTTTTACTAGATGACATCTTATGACATGTTATGTCTTCTTCTTCTTTGTTTTAATTGTGTTTAGTTTTATTGTACAGCACTTTGTAACTGTGTTTTAAAAAGTGCTATATAAATAAAGTTTATTATTATTACATTATTTAGTTTTGTATATGGTTGCAGTTCGTTAAGTGACTAATTCTTAGCTTTACTCACCCATTGTAACCTTCCACTATTTTTAGGATCCTTGTCTTCATCTCTTCAAAGGGAACATAATCTACATTGGGATTATGTGGTGCTCTCTGCTCCGGCGACGAAGCGTGGAAATCATCCATGACTTTTTCCAACTTGAACACGAAGTATGTTTTGAACTGTGACCATGAGATCCTGGAAGATAATGGAAATGCAAGTCTGCATGTCATGCACACGAAAGATTGAAATGTCTTCTGACACTTTATTACAAAAAGCATGATAAGAGAGACATAAACGTTCACCAAGCAGGTGCCTTCATTGTGTGTGAAGATCTGTAGCAGGTGTAATGTTTTTAATGTCTTGAGGAGTACTCACATTGGCTGTCCCGTCTTGGCAACATGACACAAGAATTGCTCTAGTTCAGGACTGGTCTCTTTCTTGCCTTTCTTCTCAAAATCTGTAAATGCCCACATTAAAAGCAGAAAAATGTGTTTATTCATATTTATTTACATTTATCCAAACAGCACACATACTGTCAGACCCAAACAATGTTGTACCTGCATCACCTAGAGGCATATAACCATTAGAGAAATGATGTATTCTGTGAATCATACTGGAAAGCTGCAAAGATAATACATGTAGTTTCGTTTCAGGCTACTTATGGCACACTAACTGTACGCTAGCAATGATGAAATTATTTAAAAGTGTCATTTATCAGCTGTGTCAAGTGAAAACATGGAAATAAAACAAGTTAAACACCACATTATAAAACCAATTTCAGTTAACTAGCTGGAAAGTTCTTGTAAAAGTTCCTATGTTAGCATGTTTATTGTGATGCTACACAGCTAGCTGTTTACATAATCTCCCAGTGCGAGTAAGTGGGTCAAAAATATAAAATGTGACGAACTTCTTTCTAGCAGAGGATAAACACTGAACTACCTAGGCCAAGCAGGGACAGAGCAGACTGTCCCTTGGTACCTCTTCTAAACGCTAATCGTTGTTAGTAAGCTAAGTTAAGGTAACGCACGTAACGTAACGTTAGTTAGCAAACATTGCAGATTTTTTTCTGGAGGCTCCTACACACATGTCATCATCATTAACTCATAACAAATCACGTATTTGAATAACTGTAAATATTGCCTTGAAACGCCTCCAACAACGCGTCGATGTCCATAGCTGTGTCCAGTCACAGGCAGGAAATACTTGCTAGTTAGCAGTTAGCATGTAGCAACCCAACAAAGCTGGTGGCGGCGACAACTGCGCATGTCTGAAATTACGTATTCGCATTTGCGGAAGATGCGTTCCAGTTCAACTGGGGATCAACAAAGCATTTGAATCCCCTCGCAGCGGCGAAATACGCAGCAGTAAATTGTGTTTAATTTGTTGTTGTGGCGCAAATGAGCGAAACTATAATTGAAGTATGCGCAGACTTCAGTGACAGAAACTTCTGGATCGCTCCGGCGCGCTGTAGATGCCGCAAGCAGTCAGCGGGCGTCATCGTTTCTCTGTTGTTGTGACGGCGCAAACCGGCGAAGCGGCCAATGAGTCAGCAGCTGATCGGGGTTAATTTTACCTAACCGACCTATAAATATAACGATAACAACCTCCAGTGCGAACATCTGGACTACAGACCTGCTAGTTGTCATAAGAAGACCTTCGCCTTTTCCAGAGGTAACAATGGCAGTCCCTGTAGCTGCGTTACAGCTGAGCACATCATCCAGCCCGGGTCTGCTGGAGCACAACATTCACATCAGCGACAGAGATTTGGGAAGGATTTCAAGTGACAGTGAAAACGACATTCTGCCTTTACATTCTCCCTGGACTTTCTGGCTAGACAGGTAAGACACTGCTTAACTATCCAACCCGTCTATTGTTGTATTATCAATCTCCAGCTGGTGTCAAGTGGGTGAACTCTGTGGAGCTGACCTTTTAATGAGAACAAAGAAGGGAGATGACGAATCTCTCTGGCCTGCTTTATCAGTCTTTGCAGCCCAGATAACACTATATATGTGCGTTTAACAGCGACATAGGGCTTATCTGTCTTTATTTATTACAGAAAAATGACATTACAGCAAACACAGCCTGCTAGTGGTGTTGGTGCAGCTTTCCTGCCAACTTGTTTTCTCCCTGACCTACATACGCAGGTCCTGTGCTTGGTAAGGTCTTAAAATAAACAAAAGGGCGTAATAAGTGGCTAAACACCGTAACTCCACTTCAGACAAGGTCAGTTTGAGTTCAGTCTCAGCTTTTACTTGTATTTTTTATGAGCATGGGGGAAAAACTTGTGCCACTCCTCATGTGTCTGCAGCCTTTGTTCAGTGGAGCACTTTTATTCTGTTGTATAAAAACTTATGTAGCTCAAATTTGCCATTTCTTTAAGCAGAATGTTGGCTGTGATGTCAAAGTGATTTCAGGAGCAATCATAATTGAGTTGAAAACAGTTGATAGACAGTTACACAAGCCTCATCATCCACGGAGTAGTCAAATCAGGGTGCTGTGTTCAAATGGGGTCAGTGTTGTTTACTGTTTACTGGCTTATTTGTCATCTGATCACCCCCCCTCCAACCCCAACCCCAACCTGTCTGCTCAGAGGCCAGCTCACTCAAACATGTCCGAGTAATGTAACACTGCAATAAATGGATCCATTACATGACATGTTACAGGACCTGGGCTCTGTACAAGCTTTTGGTTTTCGAAGAAGGAAATAAAATAAATGTTCATGTGTCTGTTTTTGTGCCAGATCCCTACCAGGAACAACGGCAGCTGAATGCGAGTCAAACCTGAAGAAAATCTACACTGTGGAGACCGTCCAGGTAAGATGCTTTATAGTTGTCATGCAAGAAGAGCACAGCTACAGCAGGCACACTCTGCCACACTAGGAGTTGATGTGATGACGCACTTCAAGAGCAAGTTTCCGAATCAAAACAAGATATGCTGATTTATTTCCACATCGCATTTCACCAAGACCCCAGCCAGACTTTAATTAAGATGTCTGTCAGGAGCCTGTCTTTGTACTTGAGAGTAAACAGCATACAGGATTTAGAAGTAGCAGTAACAGCAGTAGCATCCTTACACTTGTTGTTTCAGGTCAAACCACATCATCAGCCTGAGGTTTAGTAGCGTTACACATTTTTCTCATGATCTGCCAGCATTAATAACTGTCATTAAGTGCTATAACTTACTAATAAATACTTTGAAGTGAATTAGTTGACGTGGAAACACCTGCTAATCTACATGTTAATCTGTGTAATAACTGATTACTGATCTAAACATCATCGCAGGGTTATTTTTAATGCATCACTGTGATTGTGGCAGGATGTTAAAGAGCTTAAGTACCACTTTACGAATCACGAACCACAACTGTGCTGGATAAGGGTTCATGAGTGCATGCGTGTGGTTAAGAGCAATGAGGAAAAGACCTTTGGCAGTGATTTTCTACATCGTGACAAATGTGAAATATTAACAAGGTCAGCTGTCTGCACTCCCTGTGCCAGTAAATGGTGCAATAAAATAACCTGTTTCCTCTCTTCACCTTGGCACTGGAGTAGAACTTTTGGAGAGTTTACAACAACATACCCGGCGTCTCCAGCCTGCCGTTGAGATGTAGCTATCATCTGATGAGAGGAGAAAGAAAGCCACTCTGGTACGCTTGAACATAAGATAAATGCATGAATGTGTTCGTAGTATTTGAAGCTGGTTGTGTAACATTGCCTGCTGGTTTGCACACAGGGAGGAGGAAAGCAATGCTAAAGGTGGTGTTTGGAAGATGAAAGTCCCTAAAGAATGCACTGTAAGTGACATAATTAGTATATTAATGTACTACTTGCTCATTAATTTTTTTCTATTTAACAAATTTGTCTTCATATTTACAGTCTGCTGTGTGGAAGGAGCTGCTATTGGCTACTATTGGAGAGCAGTTCAGTGATTATTGTGCCTCAGGTACATTTCATGCTTGTGCTTTTGGATCTGGCGAATGAATAATTGCATTATATTTACAGAATTTTACAAGTCTGAAATGTATTCATTTTGGTCTCTGCTGCCGTTCTTGCAGACGATGAAGTAGTCGGGGTCAGCGTCAGCGTGAGAGACAGAGAAGACGTGTTTCAGGTTTGGAACGGAAACGCCTCCTGTGCTAACGAGTCGAAAATCTTAGGGAGAATCAACGAGCTGCTTCCACAGATCCCTTTCAAAGCAGTGTTTTACAAACGTGAGTATTTTCTTGGAATATTAATAATCACATATTTCCTTTAACACCATAAAATGTGAGTAATTGCTTCTTTTGCTTTTATTTCAGCACATGAGGAGCACCACGCTTTTGAAGGAGGACGAAGACAATAGGGTATTTTGTATCCTCGAGACATACATGTTTTTTGCTTATGATCATGTTTTGGATAATATGTGGGCACATTTTGAGGCAATTTAGTTGCTTAATGTATCATTTTAATTACCTCAAAATGTAGCCAGTGTATAATGATTCTCAATTGATGGAATTTCTCATCATCTGAGTGCTACTGTCAGTCAGAATAATATCCAAAATACTTTAATTTTACTTTGATTTTATCTGTTGCAGTGTTTCTGTGTTTTTATACTTCAAATTTTGCAAAAACCAAAACAGCAGGTCATGTACACGTACATGTCAGATTTTTTTAGATGTATTTTGTGCAGTTTCCTGAGCACAGACAAAGCTAGGTCTTTGAATTAAATCTCATTTTTTGATCTAATGAAAGGCCCAGTTCCACAAAGCAAACCTTTTATCTTAACAAAACATTACAAAAGCTTTTCTAGTCAGCTCTTTTCTCTGTTTTGTATGTTACAGCCAAAATACTGTTGCCTAACATGAACGTTTAGTACGTTGTAATGCTAATATACAAGCAAAAAATTGCACATTCTTTTTTATGTTTCTTTTTTAGGATATGGGCGGATTGTAAAAAGGAATATGTTCTTGTTACAATAAAAATGACCTCAGTACACACATCATCACGAGTAGATGCTGAGAAATATATGCAATCATTTCTATTCTGTGGAATTTGCCGCAAATTTGCAGTGTTGTGGTTGTCATTTTGTTTTAAGCATCCGCCCCGAATCAAGCACTTTGTTTCTTACTGTGTGTGTGCGTCCAGATTTAGATGGAGTTTTGATAACTGAGACCAAACCTGCTTTGGTTTTGTGTTACCTTTTCTGATTCAAGTGTCCATTTTGTTATGGATTTCTTTTCTTTTTCTGCTTTTAATTGTAACAGAGATGTGTAGATGACATCCTTTAATTTACTTGTTTTTTATGTATTCATATGACCTGTGTTAAAAGTGAATCTGTGAAGCCTTCCCTTTGTAGATATTATCAGCCCCAGGAAAAATGGATGAACACATGACACACAGGAATCTGTCACAGAGTGGGACAGCAGAGAAACGCTCTAAATCTTTTCCTCGGGGGACTGCTCGAGGTCTATTTCAGTCTATTTGTACAAAATTGCGGGTGTTTGGTGAAGTGACGCAATCACTGCAGCAGGGTCAGATCAGTATGAAACAAGTTAATCAGAGATTGTTTACTTCTGCTGCACTAGAGCAAATTTCAGTGTCACTCAGATCTAGAGGTTTAAACATTTTCTTTTCTGTGATGATGTAAAAAACTGTGTAGTATTAATAAGCATAATCATCTTAGGGAAATGTAATTTAGAAACATCTCACCAAAGGCACCTTTCCTGTGTGTTTGTGTACGACGGAGTGAGACTGACTATTCTTGGCTGCATAGACCAATTGAGGTTATTTCTATGTAGCTATGGAATATGCATTGAAACCCACATAGGGAGACTGCTGCTATGATTTCTCAAACAAATCAAATGTTTAAATATGTATTATGCTGGTGTCTTGGCTCGGATTCTCTGCTCAAGAATATTCACAGGAGGAGTTGGTTTTCCGACCGTCGACTTTGCCAAACTATTTTCCCTTTATTCTTCTGTCGTCCGTGTAATATAAGCACATGCTGTCGGAAAAGAGAATACTGTACCCTTGCACATTTACAGTCGACCGCTCACTTCAGGTCTCAGACTTTGTAACTGATTGTTGATCTTGGATGGTGCCTTGTGTTTACCAGCAGTTTAGAATGTCATCTTTGTTCAGCATGTAAATAGTCATGTTTCTCTGTTAGTTTTACACGTGTTTGAGAAATAAAGACGCCTAAACTTCCACCTTTTTGCTGTCTGGAGAACTTATTTTATGTGATGAGCATATATGTAGGCTGTTAAATTGAAAA